GAGCAGGGAGCCCGATGTGGGACTCGATCCCAGGACCCCGGGATCATGACCTGAGCCGAAGGCAGATGCTTAACGACTGAGCCACCCAGGCGCCCTTGAAATCTTAATATATAACTGGATTCATTATTTTACATTATCTTCAAGATAGGTGTATCAGTACTTTACCCAATGAAAAAAGTTATCTTCAGATAAGTTACTTGTTGAAGGCACACAATACAGGTACAGTTGAGGCTTGAACCTGGGTATTTCTGATCCCAAATCCTGCTATCTTTTTCTGTGTCTGACTGACTACATCAGGAAACTCTTAATCTGAATTTAGAAATGTTTGATCCAAAAGAAAACATTTTTCTCTTTTCCTATTCGTAGGCCAAATGAAGGTCCCTACAGCCAAGGGGTTGGTTAGGTAACTTTCTGAGGTTTCTGCTAGCTCTGCAGCTCATTGTTTCTTAAATCTACCTCATACATGGATTATGAAAGAAGATCCACACACATACATTTGACCTTTGAACAACTTGGATTTTGAACTACATGGGTCCACTTATATGCAGATCTTTTTCAGTAGATGTATTGGAAGATTTTTGGAGATTTGCAACAATTTGAAAAAACTCGCAGATGAACCACGTAGCCTAGAAATACTGAAAAAATAAAGAAGTTAGGTATTATTGTAAGAAAATAGTATATAATACATCTAATGTACAAAATATGTGAATTGACTGTTAATGTTGTTGGTAAGATTTCTGGTTAATAGTAGGCTATTAGTATTTGTTTGGGGGGCACCAAAGTTACATGTGATGGGTTTTCAACTGCATGGGGGGGGTCAGTTCCTCTAACCCCAGCATTGTGGGAGAGTCAACTATATTTAACAGCTTTATTGAGATAAAATTCACATACTCTACAGTTCACTTGTTTGAAGTATGTAATTCATTGAGTTTTAGTGTATCCTAGAGTTACGGAAGTCATCACCACCATCAATTTTAGAACATTTTCATCACCCCCAAAAGAAATACCATACCCTTTAGCAGCCCACCACCCTTTGCTCCCAAATCCCCTAGCCCTAGGAAACCACTGATCCACGGTCTCTATAGATTTGCTTGGTCATCATATAAATGGAATCATAAGATGTAGTCTTTTATGACTGGCTTCTTTCTCTTAGAATGCTTTTAAGGTTGGGGCGCCTGGGTGGCTCAGTCGGTTAAGCGACTGCCTTCGGCTCAGGTCATGATCCCAAGGTCCCGGGATCGAGCCCCACATCGGGCTCCCTGCTCCGCCGGAGGCCTGCTTCTCCCTCTCCCACTCCCCTGCTTGTGTTCCCTCTCTCGCTGTGTCTCTCTGTGTCACATAAATAAACAAAATCTTTAAAAAAAAAAAAATGCTTTTAAGGTTCATCCATGTTGTAACCTATGTCAGCACTTCATTTCTTTTTATTGCCAAATAATATTCTGTTTTATGCATATGCCACATTGTGCTTATTCATCAGTTGGACATTTGGGTGGTTTTCACTTTTTTTCCTATTATGGATAATGCTGCTGTGAACATTGGTGAACAAGTTTCTGTGTGAGCATGTATTTTCAATTCTCTTGGGTTTATACCAGGAGTGGAATTTCTGGGTCATATGGTAACTCTATTTTTAACCTTTTGAGGAACTGCCAGACTGTTTTCTGTGGTGACTGCGCTCCACATTCTCACCATTTTACATTCCATAGTATATGAGGCTTCTGACTTCTCCACATCCTCACCAATACCTGCCATTACCTATCTTTGATTCCAGCCATCCTGGTGGATGTGAAATTGTGTCCTTGTGGTTTAGATTTTCATTTCCATGATGGATATGGAGGGATGATTTCATATATCCATATATATATAAAATATAAGTGTGTGTGTGTGTATATACAATTTTTTTTTGTACTTTCCTCACAAGCTGCCTAGTTTGGATAAGATCACCATCCTTTTAGGAACTTGGTTCTTGAATTGGGTAACCTTTCAAATATGTTAGTTCTGATTTACTGTGACCTTGCAATAGGGGAAGTGAAGATTATTTTTTTAAAGTGCTTTCCCTGAAAGAGATAATGAGTTTTAGGCACATTGCTGCAAGTTTTCAGTCTTTTCTCCTGTGTATAAGACCTTCACGGCAAGGAGATACTAAGGAAACAGGAATGAGAAGCATACAGGGCCAGAAGGCTCATCTCCCATTTGTTGCTGTAGGTCGTCACCTGGAGTGGGGTTGGTGTGCAGCAAGCGTTACATAAATGTTTTTGAGTGATGGAAAAGGTTATGCATTTCCTTTTCTGGATCTTTTAAAATGTATCATAATTTGCACAAAATAACACTTTTTTCGTATACATATAAAACCAAAGGGTGAATAACCCATGTGTTTATTTACCAGCATAGAAACTGAGAAAAATTGAAATGATTTATTTATAAGATTTTATTTATTTGAGACAGCGTGAGAGAGAGCGCTAGTGGGGTGGGCGGGGAGGAGCAGAGGGAGAGGGAGAAGCAGGCTCCCCGCTGATCAGGGAGCCTGATGCGGGGCTCAATCCCAGGACCCTGGGATCATGACCTGTGCCGAAGCAGATGCTTAACCGGCTGAGTTACCCAGGTGCCCCTGAAATGATTTATTTTTGATAAAATGACTAGTCCATTTACTTAAATGAATGTTATCTAAAAGCAAAGGATGATGGGGTGCCTGGGTGGCTCAGTCGTTAAGCATCTGCCTTCGGCTCAGGTCATGATCCCAGGGTCCTGGGATCGAGCCCCGCATCAGGCTCCCTGCTCTGCAGGAAGCCTGCTTCTCCATCTCCCACTCCCCCTGCTTGTGTTCCCTCTCTCACTGTCTCTCTCTGTCAAATAAATAAATAAAATCTAAAAAAAAAAAGCAGAGGATGTTGTAAGAATCGAGTATTTAGGAATTCTTATATTTTGCATCTCAATTATGTATGTTTTCTGTTTTAGCCACTTTGGAGACTAATTAATGATACTAAAGACAAAAGAATGTTAGTTTATAAATCTGAAGATATCAAGAATGTTTCACGTCTACAGTCTCCAAAAGTGTGTGGTTATATAAAGGCGGATAATAAAGAGTTGCTTCCAAAAGGGCTGGTAGACAGAGAGCCACCTGATGGTAAGACTTAAAAATATATTTCAAATAAGAAACAAGCGTTATGGCTGTCTTCAGTAGGGGTGGTTGTTAATTTGATTAGTAATTATAGAATTTGGCTTGAAAATAGAGTTTTATTCAGAAATTTCTTTAATTCTTTTGCCTATAATGTAAGAACTGAAAACACTAGAAAATAATGGTAACAATAAAGATTGGAAAAAGTCTACAGAAAAGGGAAATTGTGTAATCTGAGAGAAATTTTTTTTGTAAATAGATATTAAAGAAGGATTGATAATATATAGTGTTTAAGCGGATGTGGAGAGGTGGGAAAAATTTTTTGTTTGGGATATTTAGAAATGACAAAATAATAAGTACTGTTGAAAACAATCTTTGGAAAAGTTTATAATCTTTGGAAAAGTCTTGGGAAAGATCACTTTATATATATATTTACATAAATAATATTTATTTAAGATTTCTAAATTTTTAAGATTTTATGTGTTTGAGAGAGAGAGAAATCACGAGTTGGGAGGGGGGGAGGGAGAGAGAGGGACAAGCAGACTTTCCGCAACGCGGGACTCCATCGCAGGACTCAGATCATGACCTGAGCCAAAGTCAGACGCTTAACTGACTGAGCTGTCCAGATACTCCAGAGATTTTATTTTTAAAGTAATCTCCGCACCCAATGTCGGGCTTGAACTCACAACCCTGAGAGCAAGAGTCGCCTGCTCTACTGACTCTGCCAGTCTCGCGCTCCAGGACAGATCACTCTAGGGTCATTTAAAAACCTAACCATCTTGGAGAAATACTCTACTATCCTCATTTTTGAAAACTTAGAAAATATGACTAACATTTTAGTGTATAAATAAATTCTCAATTGGGTGTTTGATAAGAAAAATGACCTATTACCATAAACTCATTTTTAATGTCTGATTATCTTCATAGTTTTACCACTACTTTGCTTAATTTGTAAACTTCTAGAAGAAAATGACAGTTTCATAGCCCAACAATAGATTAGATGATTGTTTTACTTAAGTACTTTTTTAGAGTTTCCTTATTTTAAAAATTAAGGAGGCCCTTTTCCTTGGTTTTGAATTCTAAGATTTTAAAACCTCATACTACTTTTTACTTTTCTGTCTTCCTCCAAATTGTTTTTTGGTTGAAGATATCTTTAAGGATACTAAGCTCAAATAATGTTTGTTTCAAAAATATGCTAGATTTAAAGGGTTACTATAAAAAAACTCCTTGTTTTGATGAATTTTGATTTAATAGTGCATACAAATTCATATTAGAGCTTGTTCATCGAGTGAAGAGAAGAGCTGACCCTAATCCCATGAAGAACACGTGTAAATTGTTGGTGGTAGCAGATCATCGCTTTTACAGATACATGGGCAGAGGGGAAGAGAGTACAACTACAAATTACTTAGTAAGTATCTGATACTGGATCAGGTCACTGGACACAAAAATCAAGGTAGGTAGGCAAATTCCATTTAAAAGAAGACTGCTATGGTGTGAAATGTAATGAAATGAGATCTGTTCCAATTGCTCTCTTATTTCCTAAAATAATGGGGAGCTCTCTGAGGTTCTTAAATTACTCTGTAGAGATTCTAGTGTCAAGTTTTTGAAAAGCCGTTATGCCCTTGAACTAATATTTTCTGCACATTAGAATTCTTATACATATTAATGTTTAGGGAGAGTTTGTAACATAGGCCTCCCTTCTTTATTCAAGTGATCTCTTTGAAAATAGCAATGACATATGGATGGATGGGTGCTCCAGAGTGGGGAAAAAAAGTATTTGTCTGAACCTGTGTGTATTCTCTGTTTATATGTATATTTCAGAGAAGATGGTCAGTTTGGTTTTTGTTTAAAATAGCTAATTGTTGGAATATAACTTCGTGGAGTAGATGGGACTTTCATGGTCATAACTAACTATAGGGCAAAGATTCAAAGGAAAGATTACAGAAGTATTGACACTGGGTATTTTGAGCCTTTATATTATTATTTGAAAAGCCAAGGGAATCCCATTTCATGGACATTTTTTGTTAGTATGATCTCATTCGTCATGTTAACTTGGCACTGACAAAATGTTGTTGAGGGAATAAAAGAGAATGCAGCTATTCATGAATCAAGAGTGTAGGCCCCAAAAGACGCCTTTCTCATTGCCTTGCTTTTTCCGTTCTCTCTGTTTTATTCATACCCTCCCTCACCCTTCTTTCCCTCCCCTTCCAGTGTCAAGTGAAAGAATTTATTATGAGGGTAGTAGGAGTAGTGTGTGAAGTCACTGCAGTTCTTGTTTCTAAGTAAGAGAGATTCTTTCTTGAAAAAGTTTCTTTCTTAATATGGGTTTGTATTAAGGGGTTTTAATTTACTTTTTTGTTCATTACACCACAAATATGAATATAATGAGAGGTCCAGTCTTAACAGTTGCATTTCTTAGTTTTACACTTATTATAAGCAAAGAACAGTTTTTAGATTTCTAATGTGCTTCACGGTTGCTACAACAAGCCTCATCTAGCCATTTTATGAACAACAGAATAGTCTGAGGAAGAGATGGGTAATGAGTATTATGTTCTTACGTAGTTGGAGTCACCCTTGTTCCTCCTCCCCCCAACCCAGTATTCTCTGTCTACCTCACCTGCCATCCAAAACAGAGGACAGAAGAAAGGGGGACCGTCCGGTGGAAGCTCACTCCTCTTTCTCTCTGCCCAGTCCTTGGTGCTGGACTTTGTCCAGTGAGGGCCGGGGGTAGATTGAGCAGCATCTGTCACTGCCCCTCACCTTTTTCTGAGGAAGGGTTCTGAGGTTCTTGCCGAGAGATGGAGTGGAGATGGACTGCTTCTTAGAAGGGCAAATTTTAGGTACACTGGTTGACTTTTAACTTTCATTTTTATAGTTGATTGAAATGGCAGTTTTTTAGAAGCCTGTTACTTGATATTTTGGTTCATATGCAATTGATCACCTAAAATTTGAGATGAACTGTACCACTTCTTGATTCTAATAATAATACTCTTAAGTTTGAGACTAGGAATAATTGTTTTGTTAGTGTGATCAATGACAAAGAATAACATCTTAATGCTAGTTTTGTGATTGGTGGAAACTTATACAGTGGTATTTTCTCTAAACTGACCATTTTAATCCCTGCAAAATTTATATTATGTTGCAGAGTGGTAATACATGTCTTTCTCTCACTCTTTTATAAACACAGATAGAGCTTATTGACCGAGTGGATGACATCTATCGGAACACTTCATGGGACAATGCGGGTTTTAAAGGTTATGGAATACAGATAGAGCAGGTATTTACCAATGGATGTGGATGTGGCTTTTATTACTCTGCTGAGTGATGTGATGCAGATATTTGTCACTTGTATTCAGAACCCAAAAACTGATCTGCGACTCTAATCTTACAAATTTTCAGATGCCAGTGATTTTTATCTGATAAATTGTATAGTGTTTTTGAATTATTTACAGATTGTGAAGTCTTTTGTTCTTAGGCTTATTGTAGGCAGAAAGCCTTTTTAGGCTGCTGTGATCTCGTCTTTCTCTGAATTTATGTTGTTTTTATCCCCTTCATTGTTTCACTTTTTTTGATTATGCTTTATGTCTTTAGTTAGAATGTTGGCACATATTGTTGAAACCTTAGAAAATTTACTCAGAAATACTGTGTACATTTGTAAGGCATTTATGCATATAGAACCAGTAGATCTCTTTTCCCCAGAATTTTCTGGTTTCTTCTAATCTGTGGATAGAGCACATCCAGTAATGGTGTATTGATGTCATCTTAGTTATATCTCATAGTAAACATTGTTCGAAATTGATAAGACTAATTAAAAAGACGTCTGAAGTTGGGTATTGCTTTGGACGGATACTTAATATGTAAATTATTATCTCTTGTTTCTTCCAGACTTTTTGTACTAAATTAACCATATTCTTATAGGTTCTGTAGTATAGAATTTAGAGATTAAGAAACAAAACTTCTGAAATCATACATCATACTATATAAATGTTAAACTTTTATAGTACTTGTATGAAACTAAGAGAATTATTTTTCCCTTTTCCATTCTCTTTTACTGTTTTGCATTTTCTTTTAAGTTATTATTTGAATAGGTAATATATACACATGGTACAAAAGCCAGTGAAAAGTAAGTCTCTTCAACCTCTTTGTCAAACCAGTCCCTTTCCCCAGAGACATCCACGTCACAAGTTTCATAAGTATTGTCCCAGAGAGATTTTGTGCATGCATAGCATGTGTATGTATATGTGTGTATTTGACACATGGTGGTATGCTCTACTCTTTTGCACCTTGCTTTTTCATTTTGCGAATATGTTGGTGATTGTTCCATTGTGGTACATAGAAAGCTGCCTCACTTGTCTAAAATAGCTGCATCATGTTCAGATTTTAGGGGCCCAATAAATAAAACTCCGTTTTGCCTTAAGAAGTTGGAACTACTTGGAAAAATAGGTGCAGTGTAGGAGATTGAAATATCAGCTTTATAATAATGATAATGGATTAGACAGTGTGATTTAGATGTACAATCATAGTGGGCTTTTGTTTCATCCCAGAATTGATCTTGACCACCCGCCACCAAAGCCACAGAGCCCTCCCCTGTGAGCCTGCCACGTGGTGGCAGAGCAGCCCAGATTACACCCCTCCAGGCAGGTCTAGCCAGCGGAGAGGCCAGAAAGGGCTGAGCTGAGCCTGGCTTTGTTCTTTGCCCTAAACACCCTCACCGGTCGATAACGTTTCATCTCCTTCGGAGGAAAGCCTTTGTTCCCTTTTTATTAAAGCAGGATTAACATGAATTTTTACTGTATGTACAAGGAAAAGCCCCTGTTCTTTATAATCTTTTATTTCTATGGGGTGCAGTGACAGACATCTAATTGTTCTGTGTCTCTGAATCATTGACTATAGTTGGAGTGAATATTTTAGACTCAGGGAACCCAGGTTCTCATTTTGTCAAACTAAATGTAGAGGAAATAAGAGTTTAGGAATACATTTATAAATTGATAAATAAGTCATTGACATACATGTTTTCCATAGCATATGCTTCTCAGTTTGTTTTTAAATGAATATTAGAGCTGAAGAATTTTATGGAATTTTGGTTTTAAAACATTTTTTCTAGAATGGCAGATGATCTTATTTTGAATAGCTAAAACAGTGCAGTATTATTTCAGTCTTGTGACTTTTTTCTGAAGTGTTCTAAGTATATTGTCTCTTTAAGTATAGATCCGCATTCTCAAGTCTCCACAAGAGGTGAAACCTGGTGAAAGGCACTATAACATGGCAAAAAGTTACCCGAATGAAGAAAAGGATGCTTGGGATGTGAAGATGTTGCTAGAGGTAGGTGGTGGAGTCCCAGACATGATGCTGTTAGTGCCCTTTGTGGTTTCTAGTACATGGGGCATGTCTGCATCAATGAAGGGGCGCACTGAGAAAGGTCATTGAAAACCAGGAGCAGTCCACCCCAGCTAATGCAGCAGTGACCTCATCCCTGGAGCAGGGCAGACAGCAAGACGGGCCAAAAAGTTGTGAAAATGAAAAATGCTAGAAAGTGGTACTTCTTGATCTTAATATCTTTGAGAATCTAGTTGAAGTATTGGGACTTTAGAAAATGTATACTCAATATAAACATTTTTTGCACACCATTTTGTTCAGGTTTCTTTGAAACTTATCAGTAGATCTGTTAGGTCAGTAATTGTCAAACAGTATGAAAATGTATTAGTAGAAATATAACTTGAAGATGTGGAAGTTTTCTATAGGATTTAAAAATCTTTGTGACTGTATTCTGGTAATCTGAAGATAGCCTAAACATTCTATGCCATATGATTCTTGCCTCGACTGGGTATGATTGATCCTTTTTGCCACATATTTTAGTGTCTTGAGTTTGTGTATATGATCGCTTTGTTGTAAAATCATCTTCTGTGAAGTGATAGTGATCTTTTAATATGTTAGTAAGTGTATTGGTTTCCTGTGGCTGCTCTAACAAGTTCCCGAAAATTCACAGCTTATAACATTTATTTATCTAGTGGTTTCCATGGGTTAGTCCATGTACAGTGTGGCTCATCAGTCTCACGGGGCAAAAATTAAGTTTTCAAAGCTTGAGTGGAGTTAAAGGATATTACCAGCTCTTTTTCCAGGTTGAGATGCATAGAGTGCTGCATGTGTTCAGTACTCCACTTGCCGTCTCTGCGGTGACCCACTTCCCCCAGAGCTTGAGGCAGCACCGTTCACCTCTCAAGAGGCTCGGCAAGGATATAAGAGTGCCAGTAACAAAGCACTGCAGACTGGTGGCTTAAACAGCAGAAATGTATTTTTCACGGTTCTGGAGGCTGGAAAACCAACGCAAAGTTAAAACAAAAACCCTAGGTGTTTTTGTTGGCTCAGTCGGAAGAGCATGCAACTCTTGATCTTAGGGTTGTGATACCGAGCCCCATGTTGGGTGTAGAGGTTACTAAAAATAAACTTAAAAAAAAAATACATACAAAACCAAATAGAGTCCTTGAAATACTTTAGAGGAATCTGTTTGGTATTAGGTGCCGACATCCCCTGGAAGGAGTAGTCAAGCCCTGAGACTTAACAGAATTGGCATGTCTCCAGGACCAGGCTGCATGGCTTCAACCAGCCCTCTTGGTTTTGAATTGCTATAAGAAGCTCCCAAGTTCTTCCCTATCCCATCCCCCTCCCGGACTAGATGGTACTCCACTTCTTACCTATATAGGTGGGTGAAAATTGTATGTAAGGAGCATAGTGCTGCACAGTTTTGTGGTTGCTGATGTAGAGCTGCAGTCAGTCATGTGGTATTTTCCAGTGTCTGCTGAAACATCTTTTAGTCTGATGCAATTGTTAATCTAATTAAGAGTACTTTTTTTCTTAAAGCAATTTAGCTTTGATATAGCCGAAGAAGCATCTAAAGTCTGCCTGGCACATCTTTTCACCTATCAAGATTTTGATATGGGAACTCTTGGGTTAGCTTATGTTGGTTCTCCCAGAGCAAACAGTCATGGAGGCATTTGCCCAAAGGGTAAGTCTTCCATTTGTTGTGTGGATATGTGAGAATGGCAGACTGATTAGATTGTATTGTAATCCTGTATTAAATAAGCAATTTGTCTCTATTTTCTTTGTCCTCTAGCTTATTATAGTCCAATTGGAAAGAAAAATATCTATTTGAATAGTGGATTGACCAGCACAAAAAATTATGGTAAAACCATCCTTACAAAGGTATGTTCTCTTATTTTTTAAAAGGATAGATTTTGAGTTTATTGTAGTAGAACCTCAGTTGTATATATTTATGTAGGTATCTTTAAAAAAAGTAATGCGTACTTTTGTTTCTGCCTAAAAAAATAACATGTGTTTTGGTGGGAAATGTGAAAATAAAAAATATAAAGAAAAAGATAAAAAGCTACCTGTGAGATTTCTTTTGAGACCCATCAGGGTCATTGTTTTTCCTGAAGACACCCCTCCTGGAGCCCTTCATCCTGTGGTTTCTCTGCAGGCTACTTGGCTCCCAGTCCTGCAATGTAGCTGTCATTTGAAGACCTCCCCAAACTCCCTCATTTCCTGGACTTCATGTCCGTCCGTCCGTCCGTCCGTCCGTCCGTCCGTCCTTCCTTCCTTCCTTCCTTTCCTCCCTCCCTCCCTCCCTCCCTTCCTCCCTTCCTTCCTTCCTTCCTTCCATTTATTTATTTGAGAGAGCAAGTGAGAGGGAGAGAGCACTTGAGAGGGGAGGGAGAGGGGAAGGTCAGAGGGAGATGCAGACTCCCCGCCAAGCAGGGAGCCCGATGCAGGGCTTGATAATGGGACTCTTGGATCATGACCTGAGCTGAAGGCAGATGCTTAACTGACTGAGCCACCCAGAGCCCCTGTTCTTTTTCTTGATTTATACCATCATTTTGGTGTAGCTATTTTCCAGGAGCTTCCTAAGAAAAGGGTACATGAGAGGCAAATTGAGATTTTTGCATATCTGTAATTGTGTTTAACCTTCTCTTAAACTTGATTGATAATTAAATTTTCTCAGCATTTGCAGACATCGCTCCATTGTCTTCTAGTATTTTGTGTTACCGTTAGAATCTGAAGTCATTCTGATTTTTTATCCTTTGTATGTGACCTGTTTTTTTCCTCTAGAAGATTTTAGGATCTTGTTTTTGCCCAGGTATATCCATTAGGAATATGTTAGGCACATTCCAGCAAATCCATGCGACTGAAAATCCAACACAGCGACTTAAATAAGAGGTGTGTTTGGTTCAGTCAACAACAGGGTCATGGATAGCATCCGTGGGTGCTGCAGCAGCTTAGTGATGCTCTCAGGGAGCCAGGATCCTCCCAGTTTTTACTCAGCCCCTTTGAGCACAGGCCTTTGTCCTCATGCTTATCCTCTGCTCACAAGGTGGTTCTGTTCGTGCTGCAGAAAGGAGGACAGAGCCTCATCTGTCCCTTATAAAAAAAAAACCTCTGGAGTCCCACCCACTGGCTTCTGTTTATATCTCACTGGACAGAATCGGTCATGTGACTGACCTACCTTCAAAGAAATATGGGAAGGTGGCTATTTTAACAGAGTATATTGGCAACCTGAGCAGGATTAGGATTTTTTAAGGAAGGAAGAAGAGGAGAATGGATATTGATAGGAAATACTAGTTTCTGATACACTGGTAGTTTGGCTATGACGTTATAGTTGGTGTTGGTTTTTTATCCCACTGTGTTGGGCCCTTCAATCGTGACACTCCCAACTCCCACAGTCCTACTGCTATTCTGTTGTTGGTCGCATTAATCAGGACCTCATTTAAGAAAAGCAGGGCCTTGTTAGCCACAGCAGCTGACGGTTGGATATTAAGTCATAATGTTTACTTTGCATGATCCTTTAAGGAAGCTGACCTGGTAACAACTCATGAATTGGGACATAATTTTGGAGCAGAACATGATCCGGATGGCCTAGCGGAATGTGCCCCAAATGAGGACCAGGGAGGAAAATACGTTATGTATCCCATCGCTGTGAGTGGAGATCATGAGAACAATAAGGTATGTATCTTTTGGAGCATTTTTAGATTAGGAAGGAAAGAGGCTATGTTTAATTATAATGAGAGCTCAGAAAAGCCTTCCATTCCAGGGATGGAACTGCAAATTATGAAGTACCTTCAAACTTGGTTGTGTGTTTTAGAGTGAAATGAGGACCATCAAATCTGGTTGAAGCTATCATTTGGACTGTTATCAGAGTTAATTGTGTTGATTGGGGCTATATGAAAAATTCGTGATAGTAATGGCTTGTGCTGGAGTTCTAGATGGCAAGGTCTGGCGCAAGTTAAAAATTTCATGTCATTTCTTTTTTTTTAAAGATTTTATTTATTTATTTGACTGAGTGAGAAAGCACAGGCAGGGGGAGAAGCAGGGGTAGAGGGAGAAGCAGGCTCCCCGCTCAGCAGGGAGCGCCTGATGTGGAACTTGATCTCAGGACCCCAGGATCATGACCTGAGCCAAAGGCAGACGCTTAACCGACTGAGCCATCCACGCACCCCAAAAATTTCATGTCATTTCTTATATAAGCTGTTGTTCCTTTTAACTCTCCTTAATTTGCATGTTTTCATAAACTTTTGCAACAAAATACATAATTTGCCAGACTGTAAACCTCCGGGGGGAAAGGCCCTTGCTTATCTTGTTCACAGTTCTGTCTCCAGTGCCTAGCAGGGTACCTGGCACGTAGCAGTTTGAGTAAATAAATGAACAGTTTGCTGCCGGGGGTTTCTGAGAGTACACGAGTCCGTGGGAGAAACTTTAAGAGTGGCCACGACTGGCTCCTAGACTCTGACCTGAAAGTGCTCACAGACATCTGGTTTGTGCATTTCACTTGAAGTTAAGCAGCACAAAGCATCATGAGAAGAACATACTGGTGTTGTTGCCAAGTTAGAGAGGGCTGACTAACTGGGAAAGATGGTGAAGTATTTCTCCTGGTTTCCTTTTTCAAGCCAGGGTGTGGCACTTTAAAGCCTGGCAGGGAGCTAGAGGAAGGGATTACTTTTGTGTTTCCCTGGCCCTGACCGTGCTTTTGGAAGTTTCTTTCTCGTGTTCTTTTTGTCATCTTTTTCCTTGGCTATTAAGTATAAACGGTCTCTTCCTCTCTTGCTTTGCATCTTAAGTTTTGTATTTCCTCTGCTTGACAGCTTGCGCCTGAGGCGCTTTGCCCTCTTCGTTTGCCTGTTCTTCCGACTTGTCACATACCCTGTTGAATTTTCCTCTGTTTTTCATAGTTGTCTCTGTATTTCATTTTTTTAAAATTATTTATTTTTAGAGAGAGAACGTGTGCACGAGTGGGATGAGGGGCAGAGGCAGAGGGAGAGAATCTCAAGCAGACTCCCTGAGGAGCCCAACATGAGGCTTGATCTCATGACCCTGAGATCACGACCTGAGCCAAAACCAAGAGTCAGATGCTTAGCCGACTGAGCCACCCAAGCGCCCCTGTCTCTTCATTTCTAATCATGTACATTCTAGCTCAGTGCTATTCAGTAGAAGGTTCTGGCATGACGGAAACATTCTGTATTAAACAGCAACCCCTAGCCATAGGTGGCCATTGAGCACTCCACATGTGACCGGAGAGACCAAGTAACAATTTTAAATGCTGTTTTATTTTATTTTATTATTCTTTTTAAATTATGTTTTATTTAAATTCAGTGGTGATTGCCTGGGATTGGAGCTGGGAATGGGAATTAACTGAAAAAGGACATGAGGGACCTTATTGGGACATGTCCACAAGTTGATTTATCGTGATGGCTGCACCACTTGGTAAAGTTATTGGAAATCACTGATTTGGACACTTGAAATGGGTGAATTTTGTGATATGTAAAATATGCCTTAAAACTATTTTTTTTTAAGATTTTATTTATTTATTTGACAGAGACACAGCGAGAGAGGGAACACAAGCAGGGCGGGTGGGAGAGGGAGAAGCAGGCTTCCCGCTGAGCAGGGAGCCGGATGTGGAGCTCGATCCCAGGACCCTGGGATCATGACATGAGCCGAAGGCAGACGCTTAACGACTGAGCCACCCAGGCGCCCCATGCCTTAATAAAGCTGTTGAAAAACAACAACCACGCAGTGTGGGAGCAGAGGGGAAGTGGTGAGGGTACAGAGGAGTTAGGAAGCCATGAGTTGATCATTGTTGAAGCTGGTGAGGGGCATGTGGGCGTTCACAATACCATTCTGTCCATTTTGCAGCTGTGTGAACATTTCTATAATAGAAAGTATGAAGTATGTGGTGAGGAAAAAGAAATTGTAATAGCCACATTTGGCTCCTGGCTGTAGTATTACACAGTGCATTCTATAGTCATTTGCTTCTTTGTTAGGAGGATGGTGTGAGTACTTTGGGGGAAATTACCTTACTTTGCAGACTCTTGCTCTACAAGTTCTCCGTAGTGAAATTTCCCTGTGAGCTCTTCCATGGCCTTGTAATGACTTCTAAGGAGAACAGTGCCTGGCCAGAGCCTCTTTTTTTTTTTTTTTTAATTCAGGAGGTTGGGGCACCTGGGTGGCTCATTCGGTTAAGCATCTGCTTTTGGCTCAGGTCATGATCCCCCAGAGTCCTGGGATTGAGCCTCACATCGGGCTCCCTGCTCAGCAGAGATTCTGCTTCTCCCTTTGCCCCTCCCCCTGCTCATGCTTGCTCTCTCTCTCTCAAATAAATAAAACCTTAAAAAAAATAAATTCAGGAAGTGCCCGTCATCCACATTGGGCGTAGAGCTTACTTTTTTTTTTTTTTTTTTAAGATTTTATTTATTTATTTGAGAGAGAGAGAATGAGAGACAGAGAGCATGAGAGGGAGGAGGGTCAGAGGGAGAAGCAGACTCCCTGCCGAGCAGGGAGCCCGATGTGGGACTCGATCCCGGGACTCCAGGATCATGACCTGAGCCGAAGGCAGTCGCTTAACCAACTGAGCCACCCAGGCGCCCCGAGCTTACTTTTTAAAAAAAGAAAAAAACACAACTCTTGGGGCACCTGGCACGTGACTCTTGATCTCAGGGTTGTGAATCCAAGCCCCATGTTGGATATGGAGCTTACTTAAATAAAATGTGAGGGACAAGAAAAGGAAGTGCCAGTTTATCAAAAAAGAACAATTTATCCATTTATTTATTTTGTCCCAAACACATCATATTTAGTGTATTTTCTATTAGTTTGGTTTACCCAAGTAGTGATCCTCTTGTAAAAAGATACTGGGTGTCTTCTAATCTACATTTTAAATGAATTCTTTAATAAAAATGTTTGGGGGCGCCTGGGTGGCTCAGTCGTTGGGCGTCTGCCTTCGGCTCAGGTCATGGTCCCAGGGTCCTGGGATCGAGTCCCACATCGGGCTCCCTGCTCCATGGGAAGCCTGCTTCTCCCTCTCCCACTCCCCCTGCTTCTGTTCCTGCTCTCGCTATCTCTCTCTCTGTCAAATAAATAAATAAAATCTTTAAAAAAAAAAAAAAATGTTTGTAACTAGATAAAAAGCACTCCAGTTTCCTTGACCTCGAAAGACAGGGCCTGGTACCTCTCACAGACAATCTGCTGAGAAGTGATGTGCCTCGGGCCTCACTGCGGTCAGATGGCACGAGGGGGGTAAGCTTGTAGGAGGGCTTGTTGGCACAAGAGGAGAGAGTGTGGGAAGGGTGCAAAGAGAAGGCCAGAGGTCTTCAGGGAACGTGAAAACCACGTTCCTCTTAGCTCTGCCCAAGGGCCCCGCCACTCGGGCATGTGGCTCTGATAAGATAGTGAGGAGGCTGCTTACTGCTTCAGTGTGAATTCTAATTTCTTAGCATCTGATCTCCCATGAGTGAACTGATAAAATTGAGTTCATGAATCTGCAGTGCTTGTGAGTAAACCCAGCAAATTCTAACTGCCCGAGGCCTAGACTGAGATAACCAGACCTTAAATATCTTTACCATAGAATAAATAGGAAGATCCTTTAAAAAAAAAAGCCTGGTTAATATTTCTGTTTCAGGTGATAAGGTCTTGGATATCATTGTAAAAGCAATCCTTTCGGTATCTGACTCAACGATCACAGTTACCTTTGGAGGGTCCTGTGTTCTCTGTTCCCCAGGGGCTTCATGGCTCTCGTCTGGGTTAAAAGTGAAGCCATTTTAGCAACTGTGCAGCAAGCACTTGTGAAGACCCTGCCTCAAGAAATCACTGCACAAGTTTCCCTCAAGTTTTTTACTCCCTTTCTTGCTAATTTCAGATGGTTTGGGAAATGGACTCCATTTCGGAGCTCCCGGTAAAAATCCCCAAATTTATAAGGAGGCCATTTCCCTGGTTCTATATTGCAAGTGGAGAAGCGAGGGTAGAGCCTTCCTTTGGGACATGGGTCACCTGCAGAAATCTCAAACTGAAAATTATGGAGACCCATGTGAATGTTTAGGTAACAATTTGGATTTTTATCTTTTAATAGACTGTATATAATATCCTACTTCTTACTATGCTTATCTCTTTAAAAACTTGGAACATGGGTCATTTGTACACATAGCCCGGGCAAAGAGAAGGAAGTAAATCAGAGGTAGACTCGTCATGTGCAGGAAGGTGGTGGTGTGGGCCTTATTCTTGTCACTGCAGCGGTGCCAGGTGCCATCGGAGAGTCGGGGTGGGGGGGCCGGACCGTGGGTCCTCTCGATGGGACTGACTGGGATGCGTGGTCTCCGTGTTTGTACAGCTTGCCTGGGAAGAATTTTAGGCTTTTAACCAAATTCACACCAGCTTCTGAGCACCCAACTGGGGGACAGCTTGATTCCCTATAGCTGGCCTTTTGAGGTGACAGTGATGGAATTTGACAGACCTTCGAGGTGGCTGTGATTTTGGCTGTTACAGTAAGAGTTTGTCTCTAGAGAAGAAACACAAACACTACATGGGAATGATGTCTTGTCAATTTGGTTCCTTTGTGGCCTTTTTTCTTGTAAGATGTTTTCAAACTGCAGTAAGCAGTCCATCTATAAGACCATTGAAAGTAAGGCCCAGGAGTGTTTTCAAGAGCGAAGCAACAAAGTGTGTGGGAACTCCAGGGTGGACGAAGGAGAGGAGTGCGACCCTGGCATCATGTACCTGAACAATGACACGTGCTGTAGCAGTGACTGCATGCTGAGGGCGGGCGTGCAGTGCAGGTGAGCTCGGGGCCTGAGAATCGGGAAGGGGGGTGCGCTCGCGTGGGCGTGTTTGTCTCTACTTGTCCTTTACAGCAAGGAAACTGCTTTCTGAGAAGCCGTGTGACTTTATGTCACAAAATCTTTCATCTTGTAGACTTTTTGATTCGGGACCCCATAGCTCAGAGAGTCTTTTCTAAGGAAACACAAGAGGTGATTAAATGAGGATGTTCACGGCTGCCGCCTTTTATAGTAACAAGATATTAGACCCAATGAGAATGACAGTCCTGAGATCTAAATTACTGTGTTTCTATGCAATAAAACAGTGTTGGAGAATCCTGTTTAATGGCATACACTAAATGCAGAGGAAGCAGGTTACAAATTAGAAGTACCTGTGTTTCCATGTTGCTGACTGGTGCCTGGCTTAGCGTAGAAGGGGAGAACTTGACTTTATGGTGAGTAGCAGATGTGAGCGATGTACAGTGTGTACGGTCGTTATAAATACTGATGGGAACTAGGACTCGGGCTGCCTAGCTTCCTCACTGTTAGTGGCCTTGCGGGCCCGTGTCTTCCTTTTTTTTTTTTTTTTTTAATTACTGTGTTAAGTTAACGAAAACCAAGGGCACCAAGGTGTTCTGAGGATGCGTCCCCTCGGACCTCTCTGCGCTTACTGTCTGCATCGCTGCTGCCTGATGAGTGTGTGCAGGTGGGCCAGTGTCCGGGAGGGCTGAGCATGCAGCGCTGGGCAGCCCAGCCAGGACGCCTTCCCTGCCATCTTCAGGGCCCTCTGACATGTCTGTAGTGTTTGCTGTGGGGCTGACATTTGACTGGATCTCTTCCTGTCTGCTCTACCTCTGCAGTGATAGGAACAGTCCTTGCTGTAAGAACTGTCAGTTCGAGACTGCCCAGAAGAAGTGCCAAGAGGCTATCAATGCCACTTGCAAAGGCGTGTCTTACTGTACAGGTGAGTCCTTCTGCTCGTTCTCTTGGGATACTTGGCTCAGGCGGATGTGTGTATGTTTGAAACAACACTGTGTTTCGTTCAGATGAAAGCAGCCTTCAGAATCCTACTCCTTAGTTGGAGATGCACTTACCATTGGTCGGTGCCAGACCCGTCCTGCTTTCTCACTTGCCTTTCGTCCACTTGGTTTCCCTCACCTCCTTCCTCTTACAGGCGGCACATGAAATGCGTTTAATGTTTGCCTGGCTATGTGTATTTCCATGAAATATGGGGGAGTGTTATTTTGTGTATATGTGTTTTTAACATGCCAGGATAATACTCGACTTCAGATCTTCTTTTAAACTCAATGCCAGTTTTTATGAATTATCTCTAGACCATCTCACAGACCATCTGTCTTTGTCTATATCCATGTCTGTACATAGTTCATTGTTTGGGGCACCTGCTGAGTTTACTTATGTAGTATATTGTACCCATCTGTTCACTAAGTGATGGCTCGGATTGCCTTCATCTTCTGGGTACCACAGAACTACGACAGACAATCTCCCATGTGCCTTCCAGGTGTTGTAAGTGTTTCCTGGGTGCACGTGAAGGAGTGGAGTTGCTTGGTCATAGAAAGCAGCCCTACGTTGATCTCTCTAGAACAGCAGTCCTGGTGCGCCAGCAGTTTGTGCGGATTCCTGCATCCCAGTGTCCTTGTCAGCCCTCGCTGTCATCCAGATGGTCTTATTTTTTTGCCAGTCTGATGAATGTAAAGTGATCTCTCATCCGTATTTGCATGTTTCTTGAACATCTCATATCTGTTAGCCATTTGGATTTTTCCTTTTGTAAATAGCCAATTCATATATGTGGTCTTTTTTTTTTTTTTTTTTTAAATTTAAAGTATTCTCCATGTCCAACATAGGACTTGAATTCACAACCCTGAGGTCAAGAGTTGCATGTTCTGGGGTGCGTAGGTGGTCCAGCTCTTGGTTTTGGCTCAGGTCACGATCTCAGGGTTTTGGTACCAAGCCCTGCATTGGGCTCTGCGCTCAGCAGGAAGTCTGAGATTCTCTCCCTCCCCTCTGCTCCTTTCCCTGATCATGTACGCTCTCGTGCATTCTTGCGCTCTCTTCTCAAATAAACCTAAAAAAAAAAAAAAAAAAAAAGTCACACGCTCAAATGACTGAGCCAGCAGGGTGCCCCTATTTGGTTCACTTTTAAAAAATTTGGGTTTCCTATCGTTTTGCTATCGTTGGAGGAGTCATTGTATGATGATTCAGTTGGTTTAAAAGTTGCATATACCTTCCTCCTATCTGTTGTCCGCCTTGGAACAGAAACTTTTTAAAGATTTTATTTTTATGTATTTATCAGAGAGAGAGGACAAGCAGAGGGAGTGGCAGGCGGAGGGAGAAGCAGACTCCCTGCTGAGCAGGGAGCCCGATGAGGGGCTCGATCCCAGGACCCTGGGATCATGACCTGAGCCAAAGCAGACGCTTAATGACTGAGCCACCCAGGCGCCCTGTTCACCCATTTGAAGTGTACAGTTAGTGGTTTGTAAGGTGTTCGCGTTTGTGTAACCACTGGCAGTCAGTTAACGTCTTCATCACCCCCAAAAGAAACCCATGTCCTGTAGTCATTCCTGAATCTCCTCATCACCGCCCCCGCCCCCCAAGCCCCAGATAACCAGTAATCTACTTTTTGTCTCTGTGTATTTGCCTGTTCTGGACATTTCATATAAACAGAATCCTACAATACGTGGCCCTTTATACCTGTCTTCTTTCATTCAGAGTCACGTTTTCAAGATTCATCCATGTCATAGCACGAAGCAGGACTTCATTTATTCTTCCAGCTGAGTGATCGCCCGTTGTGTTCGGATGTGCCACGTTTTGTTTCATTCATTCATCAGTTGATGGACTTTTGGATTATTCCCACTTTCCGATGATGAATAACACTGTTAGGAACATTTGTGTGCAAGTTTTTGTGTGGTTGTATGTCTGTCTTTGCCCCGTCTGGACCCAGGAGCGGAATCGCTGGGTCGTATGGTAACTGTTCCATCGTTTGAGGAGCTGTGAAGCTGTTTTCCCCAGTGGCTGCGCCATTTTACATTCCCCCCAGCAGTGTCTGAGGCTTCCTCTTTGTCCACATCCTCAGCAACACTTGTTGTCTTTTTGATTATAGCCTTCCCAGTGAAGCTTTCTCTCAGTTTGGTTTTTCCTTTGCCTTTTCAACGTGCATTTTATAAGATGCCACTCGTGACTCTTGCATTCTGTCTATTGGCGTGACCACAGTTTGCCACTTGTCAGGAGCTGGAACAGTCCCAGTCAAGCTTCACACGAACATTTTCTAGCTGTGCTCAATGTTTCAGTCTTTATTTTAGTAGTAAAGCAGATTCAGAAAAATGTTCTTTTTCAATAAGCCTAAGCAAAGCAGTTTGAAAAACTTTATTCCTTCTTATCAAATAGCCTTTTGTTCCCTTGATATTTTATAGGAAGGAGCAGCTAGCAGAACATAAACTCATTATTAGGACTCAGCATTCACGACCAGCAGCGTCGGCATCACCTGGGACCTTGTTAGACATGGACGTTCTTGGCCCCCTCCACGCTCCCCCCGGGCCCCGTGCCCCAGGCAGCTCTGAGGACGGGCGCAGTGGTCTGCCCACTGGGTCTGATGCACCCTGAGCCTCACGAGCCCGGGCAGCTAGGTGGCACTGTGTCTGTGATGATTTTCCTCTGTGTCTGATGCTGTGATTTTAGTCTTCTGAGCACAGATGTTCTGCAGATACTCACGGGGCATTTTGCACGTATGTGTTCGGGGCAGCAGAACAGACTGAAAATACCGTGGCAGCTCGGTGTCACCGTTGACGGGCGTGTTGCCCTTTTCCCACAGCCTGCTTTCAGCAGCAGCAAGCTTGTTATGTGCCTGTCCTGTTGGCACTGAGTGCCCAGCGCCATGAAGGATTTCGTCAGACCGGAGGCACGTGTGATGTGCCCGCGTTAGTAGTGTATGGTGTATATTGGGTACTTCATGGAAGGCTGCTTTTGTTTGAGCCAGGGCAGGTTCCTTTAAATTTTCCTGTCACCATTCCACTGACTTTGAAGTCCGAGTTCTTTCAGACTCCATGGATTGGTCCCGTTCGTCAGGCGAAAGGCCAGGACTCCAGCTCTGGTCACCGTCCTCTGTTTGCATATAGTAGTTCTCTTCTTGTGGTCATGTTTAACTGTGTGTGTTGCTCATTTTCCAGAATGAGCCCCTCATTCCAGCTTCTCACTTGAATTTAACATCCTTCTGTGGCTTTTCTTTGTCTGGAAGAATCATTGGTTCATTTAAGAAATATCTGTGGCGTACTTATGGTGTGTGGTAGGGATTCGACGTAAGTTGATTCATTAATAGATTTGATCTTTGCTTTCGTGGAGCTCACCAGTCCGAGAGGGGAACTGAAAACACATCATCACCTAGATGTAAATTGAGGGGCGCCTGGGTGGCTCAGTTAGCTGAGTGCCCGACTCTTGATCTCAGCTCAGGTCTTTTTTTTTTTTTTTTAAGATTTTACTTATTTGACACAGAGCACACAAGTAGGGGGAGTGGGAGAGGGAGAAGCAGGCTCTCTGTTGAGCAAGGAGCCCAATGTGAGGCTCGATCCCAGGACTCTGGGATCATGACCTGAGCCAAAGGCAGACGCTTAACCGACTGAGCCACCCAGGTGCCCTTCAGCTCAGGTCTTGATCTCAGGGTCATGAGTTTGAGCCCTGCTTTGGGTTCCCTGCTGGGCATGGACCCTACTTAAAAAAAAAAAAAAAAAAGAGATGTAAATTGCAAAATGTGTGCTTGAAGGAGAGAAATAGCTCTAACGAAGGAGCACAGTGGGGTGAAAGTAGGGCCCCCGGAGGTCTAAAGGAGGTCTTTGAGCCAGATCTAAGGGTGAGAAATAGCCAGCCAGTGCCCCCCCAGGGTGGAAACGAGAACATTATGGGTAGACTGAACAGCGTATGTTACGGTTCCGAGGGAGAGACCTTGGAGAGGTGAAGACATTGGAGGCCGGCTGAGGTGAGGGCTCGGGAGCGGCCACTGGTGAGGCTGGAGGGGCCCCGCCGGCCGTGAGCCTTCCTGCAGAGCTTGCTTTTCAGTCCGAGTGACCACTGGAATGTCTCTTTCGTAGCGTGTCTATATTATGTATCTATGTGTTCTGTTACACGTAGTTATGTGTCACAATAAAAAGGTAAAAGCAAAATGTTAGATAGTGGCTGAGGGGCAGTTTGGGAGCGCGGGGACCAGCACCGCGCAGGGCTGGGTACCCAGCCAGGCACCCGATGCTTATTGGCTGATGGATGTGCACCGCTGGCCTTCTGCCCCCCTGGGCCACTTTGTACCCTTCGTGAAACACGGTGCTAACTTTTGTGAGCATCAGAGGCCTGCCCCATAGGACTGGTGGCCGTGGGACTCACGGTGACCTGTGTGCTTGCTGCGTGCTTCCAGGTAACAGCAGTGAGTGCCCCGCTCCTGGCAATGCTGCAGATGACACGGTGTGCTTGGACCTCGGCAAGTGTAAAGATGGGAAGTGCGTCCCCTTCTGTGAGAGGGAGCATCGGCTGGAGTCCTGTGCGTGTAACGGTGAGCACATGTCCGTGCTGCGTCCTTGCAGCAGGAGGGGAGATGGTCTGTGTCTGCCAGGCCCCGTCCCTCTCCGGGGGCCCAGCAGTACTCACTGCTCACTGCTGGCCGGGGCGGTGGGGAGAACCCAGACAGGGTTGGGAGGAGGGCAGGGTGGTCTGTGAGAACTCTCTGGACTCAGATCCTGGCTCCTCCGTCTTGTCTGTGAAAACTGGCGCGTCGGTCTTCCTTCTTCATTTTCAGACCATGGGGCTGGCTTAGGGGTGGGAGAGGAGGGAATGTGGTTGCGGTTGGGTGGGTGGATGGAGGTCTGTCCTCGCTGCGCCCTGCCCGCCGTGTCTTAAACACCATGAAGGCAGGGGGGCCGTCTGCAGCTCACCAGCCGTGAGCTCGCACGCTCCTTCAGGACCTCAGCCAGAGAGCCCGTTCCAGGGTCTGACCCTGCCTGTCAGGGTGTTTGCTGTTGTCACCAGGGTTGAGCCCGCTGCCCTCCGCTCCCTGCCAGATGTCTGGGGCAGGGGCCTCGCCTGGTGGTGGTTGGTGACATCATGCTGGCTTCTCAGACTTGTCCTCAGGTTTCCACCTTCTATTTTTGGAACTCCTGGGTCTGAGAAGGGGCCTCAGGGACTGACTGGGCTCCAAGCTTCCCGCCCTGCCTCACCTCAGGAGAGTTCTATTGCTTTCACAACACCCCAGAAGTGAGAGCCGCTAGGTTGGGGACTCCCCATGTGCACAGTGGAGGAGGCGGCTCTTCCCGGGGGGACAGCACGTAAATACGGAAGATGACACACAGTAGATGCCAAATAAGTAATTTCGCAAGTGAGTGGCAGGAGGCTGGCGATGCCCTGGAGACACACATAGTAAATGCCCAGGAAATGCTTGATCAATGAATGAATGAGGAAAAGGTTTTTCTTTTCCCATTAAAGTGGTTTTGCTGGTTTTTGTGTTCTAGTTGATTTCAGTTTCTCCCAAGTGTAGCTATGGACTTCCTCTGGGTCACGTACTGTCCGGAGTTACGTTGCCAGTTGACTTTTTGGGCATTTCTGCTGTTGGTGTGCGTGCCACGTGGCTTATGTGACCTCCAGTTGGTTCTGTGACCCCACGTGCCGTGGGCGGTAGGTCTAGACGGAGGGCGTCTTGGTTCGGCTGCTGTGCGCACATCTTGTGGCGTACCCCTCCCGTCCGCGCTGGGCTGTCCTGTCCTGTCGCAGCTCTGCTGGTTCTCCCTGGAGCCTTGGTTCCCCACGGGTGTATTTGAAACGGAGACGCCAAGGGTTGAAATCAGCAGTGTCGTAAGAACGTTGGGATGAAGGGAAACATTGAGTATCATAAAGGACTTGAAGTAGAATACTTTGGCTTTTAATCTGTTAAAGGAAACTCTTTGGTGTAAATTGTTTTTACCTTGTGGCCTCTCTGAGGACCAAGGAGCCTGAACTCAGAACTTAGTCTTTGGGGGTGAATGAGGGATAGTTTGCTATTGAAATGAAAAATAAATGCATTTCCTTTCCCGTTGGGAGCAGGGTGGGGAGGAGAGGCGGGAAGGAGGAGCGTTGTGTCTGCACTCCAGCTGTCCATACGCTCCCTGGTTCTGTTCCAGAAACCGACAACTCATGCAAGGTGTGCTGCAGGGACCCCTCGGGCCGGTGTGTGCCCTACGTTGACGCTGAACAGAAGAACTTATTCTTGAGGAAAGGGAAGCCCTGTACGGTGGGCTTCTGTGACATGAATGTGAGTATTTACATACGTACAGCTTTTTCTGTAACGGCCAGACGGGCAGTTTGATATTGTGAAGACTTGATTTTGCCAATGGAAGGGGTGCCGCCCACCTCTGGAACCCACTGCCTGCTCTCGTGGGCACGGCTGTCTGGGGGAGGCTGTGGGGATGACCCGAGGGAAACCGGAGCGCTCGCTCTCCGCAGCAGGCGACCCTGAGTCCAGTGACTGGGTGGGACCTGCGGGGGCCTTTATGGTAAAGTTGGTTCCTTTTAGGCAGTGAGTGTTAATTATTTGGTTTTCTAAACTAATTACAAAATTGACTAAGATTGTGAAATTGCAAGTTTTGATTTTGAAACCAGTGCTGATACAGGAAAGACTAAGAGGTGGCTCGACGCACCTGCATCAGACCCTCTTATTCTCTAGAGAAACACATTTTATTCCTGCGGAGTCACAGAAGTGGATTTAAAGGCGTTAGGCCGGCTTCCCCAGGCAGTCTGGTTAGGTTCCTCCTGTTCTGTGTGCGCGTGTGCGCGGTGAGTAGAGCCCTCGCTAGAGTGCCCTGTCTTAAATTGGTTTTCGCAAGTTGCGTTTCCTGGGAATTCTAAATTCACTTATAAAAATGAACTGATTGTGGAAGTGTCAATGACAAGTATCCTATTTTCTTAAGTCGTGTGTCAAAAAATGGGTCCCCTGCAGGTTTGATGTTACGAAGCCTTCCGTGTCAGTTATTTGTACACAGCCATGCTGCTTCTAATGCAGTACTTTTCGGGGCAATGCTGTGTGTTCCCTGTTCATAGGGCAAGTGTGAGAAGCGAGTACAGGATGTCATCGAGCGATTTTGGGACTTCATTGACCAGCTGAGCATCAATACTTTCGGTAGGTGATTACCCTGGGTGTCTGTTTGCTTAGAGCTGAGCCGATTTCGGTGATTACAGGAGAGAAGTATGTTTTCAGATTAATATGCTCTAATCCTGCAACAGCAGATGGAAATATTCACATGTTTTGTTGAAACAACTTTGTCAGCTAAGATAAAATGGACTCCTAGCCATCCCCCTGTGTAGTGCGGATGCACAGATTTTCAGACAAGGAAAGTCCGTACTTTGTCAAAATACTGACTTCTTAAAAAAATGAACACCTGACACCATAAGCATGGTTCAGTCCTATAGGTTGTAAATCTGAATCCTATTTGATGTGGGCCTCAAAACAAATAAAAGTAGGCTTCAGATTTTGCAGAAGCAGCAATGTATTCTGTCTTGCAGGGTTCACAAAATTAGTCACAAAAATAATACCCAGATAGCAGCAGCTTTGTCCTGGTAGGCATCACTGTGAGCAGTAGCCTTCTATATGCTTAGTCCCTGACACCATCACTCCAGGGATCGTGTTGAGCATTGTGTGATCTCTCTTCTCCACATGGATATCGGGGCTGTGTCTGGAAGAGCACCCGCGGTTTGGGGCGGTGGTCCGGGCCGCCTCGGTGGTACCACCTGGCCGGCAGTCCGTGGCATGGGACACAACGAGAATATACTAAGAGCATTCAATTTTGAGCGTCTAAAGTACTTGATCAAAACATTCACTGTTTGGAATTGTTCACAGGAAAGTTTTTAGCGGACAATATCGTAGGTTCCGTCCTGGTTTTCTCCTTGATATTTTGGATCCCCTTCAGCATTCTTGTCCATTGTGTGGTAAGTTGCCAACTTGCAGGTAATGAGACATTTTATTAGAATTTTGAGCAATTCCAACCTTAAAACTTTCAGAAAAGATAAAATTTGTTCTTAGCAAGATCTGACCTGATGTTTCCAGTGGCATTTTTTGGTGTTATCCCCTGGGAAAAGTTTAGCTAATTGTTTTTTAAAAGAATTATGTTTTTTGTATGTGGATATTTGTTCTCATACATAATTTGAGGAATGTTATACTTCCGAGCCCAGGAGATTGTTTCACTGGATTTGCCTAGGACCTCTGAGTGAAGCTTTGAAACAAGAGCATTTTAGACTTTGTTATAATAGAACAAATAACCTCAGCATTCCAGAGGTGGCGCCCCTCTACCATATAGATTCCTGACCTTATTGTATGGGGTATTAAATCTAGGAGCAATCTTTATTATTCTCCTTCAAAATGAGTAACAGCTAACAAGGTGAATTGGGCTCTAATAATAACTCCACGTGATTTATAAACTTGGGGACTTTATAAAACTCATCCTTACAACTCCATTCACCTTGCTTCTATGGGAAAATGATTTGTCTGCTGTAGAGACGAGAAATCAGACCCAGGCTTCCAGGCTTGTGCTCTGGAACTCTTGGGCAGTGCCCCCTCATGTGAGCACGTGGAAGATTCCAGCACAGCTACCTCTCAAGAGTCTTTTTTTTTTTTTTTTTTAAGATTTTATTTATTTGACAGGGAGAGAGAGAGAGCACAAACAGGGGGAGGAACAGAGGGAGAGGGAGAAGCAGACTCCCTCCCGAGCAGGGAGCCCAACGTGGGACTTGATCCCAGGACCCCAGGATCATGACCTGAACTGAAGGCAGATGCTTAACCAACTGAGCCACCCAGGCACTCCCTCTCAGGAGTCTTTACTTCCTCTGCTTCCTTTCCGGTTGTGCTGGGGCCCTCTCACTGAGCAGCTCTTCCTCAGGGTGGGGAGCATGGAGGGTGTGGGGAGGGAAATCCAGGGAACAGCCCTGCTAAAGCAAAGCTGTGTTAAGGGGACACAGTAGGAGCTTTGACAGGTGGCCGAGAGTGCCACCAATTACTGTTGTTTTTACTGGCGAGGCCAATCTACTTTGCGTTGCAAGTTGCCATTGTGGACTGAGGCCTGACCCTTGGTTTTGGAGCAAAGCCGCTAGATAGGAGGGAGGGTGGTGCCTTGTCGCCGACCACAGAATGCGTGGGGGCAGCTGAGCTGGAAGCCAGGCCTAGAGTTTCGGGCTCTGCCTCCTGCCTTGCCCATAGTCCTCTGTTCCACGTCGGGATGGAAGCAGGTGTTCAGCCTTCTGCGGAAGTGTGATGGAGGGACTTCAGGCTGTTCCTCTAAGAATTTGGGCCACAGTAAACTCTGGAAACAGCTGAGTGTTGAGGCCATGGCGGGCTGGGGCATTTGGAGGCCAGCGCCAGGTGGACTGCCCGCAGCGTCCCTGACCCCCGGCAGCTGCCCCTGTGGTCAGCACTGCCCTGGTCTGACCCCTGCACACACAGGGACGTGCCTTTGGGGAAATCTCCCAGGAGAATTGTCCTTAAGCGTTCCCTGACTGGTTCCTTAGTTGACAACCAAAACACCGACGGCCTCAAGGGCAAAGGAGGCGCTTGCGGGCTGGTGGCGGTACTTGTGAAGTTTCCGTGAGAAAGTCTTCTCCTCTACTGCACCTGCTAATACTTGCCACACTCATGTTCTGAGGTGGTTCTTCGCTTAGGAGGAGCCTAAAGGGAGAGAGTGTGTAACTGAATTATTTGTAAGAATGACCTTTGCCTACTCGTTTTCCTTCTAGGATAAGAAACTGGATAAGCAGTATGAGTCTCTGTCTCTGTTCCACCCCAGCGTAAGTACCCACGTGCAGCAGTCCCTTCCAGGGCCTCCTGGTGGCCACCCCAGCGAGGGCCGGCAGCCCCTGCGGCTGTGCCGCCTTGGGCTGGTGGGAGGTCCTGTTGCAGTGGGAAGGCTCTAGGCTGGGACCTCCGTCGGTTGTGCGGATGGAGGTTTAAAGAGCTGCTCTGCCCCCTGCCCCCCAGCCCCGATTGAGCTGTTCCGCGCTGACCTAATTTAATGTTTGGAGAACTTTCCCTGTCTTGGGATCCTGACTTGATAGGATTGTTTCTTGTGAGTGCTCTTTTGGGTCTTCAAATGGCCAGTTGTCAGGACATGTGGAAGGTGGGGGAGCCTCACCTCATGCTTTGCTTAGCGCGAGGGGGTCATGGTGCCCAGACTGTAGACGTGGGGGTGGGGGGGGAGGTTGGAACTGTAGGACCTGGATCCGTCTTTGACTCTGTGTCTTTGCAGAACGTGGAAATGCTAAGCAGCATGGACTCGGCCTCGGTTCGCATCATCAAGCCCTTTCCTGTGCCCCAGACCCCCGGCCGCCCGCAGCCCCTGCAGACTGCCCCTGTGCCGCCTGTACCCGCGGCTCCCAAACTGGAGCCCCAGCGAATGGACACGATCCAGGAGGACCCCAGCACAGACTCGCACGTGGATGAGGACGGCTTCGAGAAGGATCCCTTCCCCAACAGCAGCACTGCCGCCAAGTCCTTTGAGGACCTCACGGGCCGTCCGGTGACAAGAAGCGAGAAGGCCGCCTCCTTCAAGCTGCAGCGTCAGAACCGCGTGGGCAGCAAGGAGACCGAGTGCTAGGCTGGGCCTCCTGAGCGCGGGCTTCAGCGCGCACAGGGTTTTTGTACGACGGACTTGAAATCCCTGCGTCCATTTTGTGAAGATTTGGGAGAAATAAGGGACTTCACAGCAGATGCTGGTCATGTGTTTGGACTCCTTCACACACACAAATACTTGTGTGCTTAGGCCCTTGTCCTTTGGAAGAGGTAAGGTGAATCTAGCTTATTTTGAGGCTTTCAGGTTTTAGTTTTTTTGGCTTTCAAAATACCCTTCAACCTGTGGTGCAAAAGCAGAAAATACAGCTGGATTAGGTTATGAATATTTACATTTTTGTAAATTGACCTTTTTATTGAGAATAGCACTGATTAAGGAGATGATCAATTTTTTGTTTTTTATTTTATATACACTGTAATGATCTGCTGACTATCAGGAGGCATTTAGCAGTTACTTGTGAGGATAACTGGAACACAGATTTTATTTTTTGCTTTCAGGTAAAGACAAAGGAGAGAAAACTGAGTTACACATTCTTTCCAAAGTGTGGGTTCTGTTTTTAGGCATTACCCAGAGCTTTTAGCAGCAGGGAGAATCACCCAGCTTATTCCCAAAAATAGATGTGTTAATACGGTTTTTCGGATTCTAAGAATTAAAACACAGTCTAGCTTACAGGTAGCCAAATTGAATTTACAGAATCCTGCCAACTGCTCAGGGCCCCAATGTGCCGGGCAGTTTTTGTTTTCTAAGTTTATCTAGTACTGTTGCCGTGTTCGTAAAGGGCTCGCCATTCACAAAACCGAAACAACTTCAAAATGAGAGCATGGTTTCCTAGTGGCCAAGAAGTACGTGAGCTAGTTCTCCCCAAAGAACGGTGGTCTTGAAAGGCTGAGGCGTTGTGCTGAGCGGGGAGCGGCACGCTGCCTGTCTCGGGCCTGCGGCTCCCCCCCCCCCCCCCCGGTTCCTGAAAACCCCTGGTGGTGACCTGGGGGTGGACCCTGCATCCCTTCTTGCTTTAGTGCTTCGGGACTGTGTGCGTTTACTTTGTGAAGGATAAAAATCATCAAATTGAACTCTGATTTCCTTAAAATTATAGTTAAAAGCTTTTCCCCCCCAAGTACTGAAATGTGCTCATAGCCAACACATTCTAACAGAGATAATTTGTAAATTTTGAGGGCAATTAACTGAACCTGTGATAAATCGAATCTTTCCTTCTAAGGACGTTTCTTATGCAGATGCCTGTTACACTAATACTTGAACTTATACCTTGTGGTGTTTGCTGTCTTAACTAGTCCTGATACAGTTTAGTTACACTTTCGGAATCTGATAGAAGGTGAGTGGGTGTATGTGAGAGTGAACAGTTCCCAGCTCAATGTAAGAAAACTTTTTTATAAAATTGTGACTTTTTAAACAAATTTGTCTTTACCTTTTTTCCACGTATAAACAAGCCGCCCAGGGCTGGTTCCGTAGCTGGGGCACTGAGGACACCTGCCTCGGTCAGGTATTACCACACAACGTACCGAGGTACAAAGCTCCCCTGAAAATTCTAACGTTTTTATTAATCTCGGTGGCAGAGGTTCAGTGGTTTTTATTCCAAGGTCCTGAGCAAAGGTCTGATCACTTATCTCGGGATCTCTGCCGCATGGTTTTCGGCGGCTAGCGGTCCCCATCTCCCAGAAGGCTCAGTTCCGGTTTGGCTTCTGCTACGTCTCGCCAGTACGGGAGCAGCAACGGCAAGGACGAGACTTTCTTCTCTATCAGGGGCCAAAGGTGGGAGAACAAAAACTCATTTCCCTTCGGTGACAAGTGTAGTCCATCCGACAGATAGGATGAGAAGTCCTGCAAGGGAGGAGAGCACAGTTAAACTGGGGGGGCCCGCTGGTCACCACCCCTTTGTGAGGTGCGGGCTCGCTGCCCGGTACGCACTGAGCATCGTGAACCGCGTACCATCCGGCGCCCACCCGAGCCATCCTTCCAGCTCCTCAGACGGCAGAGGCCGAACAAGTAAACACGGTGCATTAACAGAAACTCGACCTGCTGGTAGAAGAGCTCAGGGCCCTGGGTGCCACACGGTTTCTGACTCCCCCGGTCTAGCTAGGAGGCGGACGGGCAGGTCGTTAGGTGGAAGGAACCCCGAGGAGCAGCCTTCGCCCTAAGCCGAGCCCCCGTCCCTGCGGCCCAGCTGGTCCACAACTCTGCCAGACCAGGGCCTCCCCAGGCCTCGGTGCTCCTCTCTGCCATTTTGGAGACGCTCTCTTAGGAAAGCCCACCCCCACCCCCCAATTCTAGAAATCTCAAAGGACACAGTAGCGGGCAGTTCCCTTTTCTAGAGCAGTATAGCCTTCCCAAACTTCCTGGATGGACGTTCAACCCAGACGAAGCCAGGACTCTGCATGCTGTCCCCTGCTGCTCCTGGCCTGGGAAACCACAGGAGGGCTGAAGCGCGGGGGCTGCTGGGTCCTGTGACCCACCCGTAACTACAGGAAAGTGTCAGACTGCCTTCCTCGTACCGCTCTGCGTGGGGGCCAGCTTTCACCTTTTATAGTTGTAAGTGGGCTTTCTGGCTTTAAACAAAATATTAAGAACTACCTAGCTCAATCTAGGATTTTTAGCTACCACCCTGTCTTGCTTAAATTCATCGTTGTACCTTTTAATAAGTTTTACAATAGGGAGTGGGAGTGCTAAAAGAATTTGGCCTGAATGTCCTTAATATGAACCATTTTTGGCTCATTTATTTCATTCTGTGCTCACTCCTGACTGTTTAAGGGGTCCCGGAGAAGGATGGCAGCTGCTGGGTCCAGCAGAGGAACCAGGCCAGGCAAGCCCCCTCCCCCCAGCTTTCTGGTTTAATCGGTGAAAGCAACAAGGGTCGTTGCTTTACTCAGAGCCACTCTAGGCAGAGCCACACAGAGCGGGGTCCCGTCTGTCGGATCCTGCTCACCCCAAGGCCCGAGCCAGCCCCGTACCTGAGAGTCCTTCTGCATCAGGGTCCACAGGTCAAGCACATCGATCCCACAGTCTTGGGCTACCTGTAAGCAGGCGCCCGCGTATTCGCCAACAACCGAGTTCAGACGATTTAATTTGCAGCCTGTTGAGAGAGCGCGTGGGTGGCAGCTGGCCCTGGGCCGGCCATGCTTGGTGCACAGGCACGGACCGCCGGACCCGGCGGGGGGACGATGGTCCCCGTGTGCTGCGCTACCCGGCACGGGACCATGGGGACGAGGGGACGGTGGCTGGTCACCGCAGGGGACACGGAACGGAAATGCAGAGGCAGGAGAGGCCGGCGGCAGCCGTCGGACCCAGAGGCTAGGAAGGGCGACGCCGGGCCGAGACCCCCGAATCTGGATGTGAGGAGAGGCCCCCGCACTGGAGTGAAGCTCACTGGGGTTCAGCCCGAGAAGGGCAGAGCCGGGAGGGGCTGCGGAGGCTCGTTCTCCGCAACTATCGTGGGCGGGGCGGGCGGCTCCCTCCCCGCCGCCGAGACGGAAACGGATGGGCCTGTCTTCCCGAGAACGTCCTCGCAGCCCGTGGCTCAGGAACCGGGCTGCTGAACCGCCTGCGGTTCTCCACCGGGCCTCCACCCACGTCTACGGAAGTGAAACAAGTCTCACGAAACAATGCCTACTGTGCCCCAGATCCTGATTTTTTTTCTATTCCATTCAAAAAAAGGTCACTTGCTCGGTTTCATGAGCCCTGAAAGGGTTGTGACCTGTGGTCTGCGAAGCGCTGCCGAAGCTCTAACTGGCACTCTGCTCGTCCAGGCTTAGCACAGACTTGCGAGCTCACAAGCCCTCACGGGAGGATGGCCGCTGGGGGGTCCCCGCTTTGCCCTCCGGAGCAAACGATAGGGCAATTCGTCCACTTCTCGCGACTGCCCTTCAGATGTCTGCTGCCATCGGGCCTGGCCCCTTCCTCCCTATCTGTCCTCTTCTTCAGGGTAAACTTGCCCTATTTACCTCCTATGGGGAACTTTCTGGACATCTCAAGATTCTGCTTCTGCACTTTCAACAGACTGTTTCAATACGTCTGTTAGACCGTTAATCACATTGCGGCAAGTATCTATTGACGGGCCCGCTGCCCTCCCTAGTCCAACAGGCAGGTACCGGGTTCCGGCTGCTTCTGTGTCTGGAGCACCTGGCCAGGTCCTGGCTTAGCACCTAAAAGTACAAGGACGAACAGCGGTGGCGACAAAAGTGCCTCCCGGTGCGGCCGGGCAAAGACCTGGCGCTGGCAGGCGGAGAGCTGCGTCCGCGGAGGAGTCCGCGATCCGGGAGGAGGAGGGGTGCCGGCACAGGGCACAGGCAGGGCTGCGCGGACAAAGGGCAGAGCAGCGGCCTCGGCAGCTCGCACTGCTGGGAGGCCTGGGGGACGCCCCCACGTGTGGACGTCGGGGTCCCATGCCCGCGCCGCAGGCTCTCGGACTCGGCCGCGCGCTTGGGGTCCGGCGGGAGCAGGCCACGCCGCCCCAGCCACGGCGAGTCCCGCGCCCCGCCGCGGGGCGCCCCCAGTCTCGGTGTCCTCACGGGCCCGGAAGCCGGCGCGCGTACCTTGCAGGAGGCACTCCTGCTCCCAGGCGGCCTCACAGAGCGGGGGCGGCGTGATGAGGACGACGCGGCTGCGGGGGACGCCGGCCTCCTGCAGGTACCCCACCATGCTCTCTAAGTTGGCCACGTACTCGGCCAGCGGGATGTGTTGCTTGGGGTTCTCGTCTGTTCGGGAGGAACACGGATACTCCAAATGCACCTTGTTACGAGGGACTGCAGTTAAGAGACAAGTTCACAGATCCGCGGGACTCCTGATGGCGCCGGGCAGGCTGAGCCCCGAGGACAGAAACGGGGGCGGGGGGCGCAGGACCCGGCTCTTCACACGGCGGACGTCACACCGCAGACCGCCGAGGCTCCCGCTGGCCACGAGTCTGCGGCCGCGCGCCATCCGAGCCGGGGCCCTGGCACACACGCTCGACCTTCCCCGTGCTTCGGTCTCCTCCCTGGTAACACGCCGATAACCGGCTCTCCCTGACGGGTGTGGAAGGGACCTCGACGAAGCGTGGGAGGCACTAGAGCAAGGCGCCCACCACACCGGAAGCACTCGCTCTTGCCGCCACTCCCGCCGAGCCTGCAAAGGGTCATTCCTAACGGGCTCACAGGCAAGTATCACAAGACTCACTGCAGCCATTTTCCAAGCCACATGTAAGTATAACCGTAGGAGCAAAATAAAATCACCCGTGATCCTACCACCCAGAACACCACGGGTGGCACTTGGATCTACTTCTAATCTTTTCCATGTTGATACCTATACTTTAAAAAACAAATACACCGTGGGGCGCCCGGGTGGCTCAGTCGTTGAATGTCTGCCTTCGGCTCAGGTCATGATCCCAGGGTCCTGGGATCGAGGCCCACATCGGGCTCCCTGCTCCGCGGGAAGCCTGCTTCTCCCTCTCCCACTCCCCCTGCTTGTGTTCCCTCTCTCGCTGTGTCTCTGTCAAATAAATAAAATCTTAAAAAAAAAAACAAAACAAACCTACAAAGATCTTTGTTCTTATGGAGCTCACATATTTAAAACACCCACACACACACATACACACACACACACTGGGATGACACTGAAGATACATAACCATATTCTTTTTTCACATAATGTTATATTACGGGCATTTCTGTGTCCATTAGTAGCCCTCAAAAACATCGTTAGTTGTTGCGTGACCAGCTTGATGCGTCTACTTTACCACATGGCACCCTAATGCCTGCCATTCCAAATACCATCCCAGGCGTCTGCACATCTGCCTGCTGCATTACTGAGTATTAGGCTGGATTTCTAGATGGGGTGCATGCCGTCAAATATCTTTCCGGAAAGATCACAAGTTTCCCTACCAGTTACGGAAGAGCGTGCCCATTTCACTCCACACTCAGCAGCTCTAAGTATTAGTGCTTAAAAAATACTTTCCAGGGTGCCTGGGTGGCTCATTCGGTTAAGTGCCTGACTCTTGGTTTCTGCCAGGTCGTGATCTCAGGATCGTGAGATCGGGCCCTGTGTCGGGCTCATCCGCTGGGTATGGAGCCTACTTAAGATTCTCCCTCTCCACGGCTCCTGGGTGGCTCAGTCAGTTAAGCATCTGCCTTCAGCTCAGGTCACAATCCCAGAGTCCTGGGATCAAGCCCTGTACCGGGCTCCCTGCTTAGTAGGGAGCATGCTTCTCCCTCTGCCCCTCACCCTGCTTGTGCTCTCGCTCTCTCTCTCAAATAAATAAAATCTTAAAAAAAAAAAAAAAGTTCTCCCTCTCTCTGCGCCCCCCCCCGCCCCCCACATGTGTGTGGTCACGCTCTCAAAACAAAACACAGCTAAAGATGAATTAGGAAAACAAGAATGCTTTTACCTTTCAGCGCACTGTCATTGGCACCAAAGAAAATTGTAACTGCTACTGGGCTGTCCAGACTGTTCCCTTTCCTGATTAATCTTGGAAGGATGATTTTGGCCCATCTGGTATTGTAACCTGAAAATCCACGATTCAGAACATCACATTTTCTGAAATGAAGAATTTAAAAAAAAAGATGAATTGTGAGCAAAGACGGTTTCTAGTCCATCTGCAGTGAACCCGCAAGTGTGTGCCCTCCAGGCTGTGGCACCTGCTGATGTCATGCAGCTCTGATGTACTTTCACTTTTTTTAAAGTTTATTTCAGTCATCTCTACACCCAACGTGGGGCTTGAACTCATGACCCCGAGATCAAGAGTCGCAGGCTCTTTGGACTGAGCCAGCCGGGCGCCTCTGCCGTGCTTTCACTTTGAGAAGAGCATTAACATAGTTGAACATGCTGTCCTTAAAGTCTTTCCAAGATCTAGGTCGTCTTTCCTTGACAAGAGGGGTTATGAATAGCTGAGCAAAGGGGCTGGCATCACGTCTGCGGACCCGCGCGTGGCGGGGGCTGGGGTCCTGTCACAGGGTGCTCACAGCAGACAGGTGTTAATCTGAGCAAGCATCTTGGGTGGAAAGTCACTAACAAGCTGGAGCTCAAGGGTAACAATGGTTCGTCAGCGGGGGGAGAGGGTATCTATACAGAAGATTTCTGAGACTTTTTACAGACTATTTTTTAAGAGGCATTTTAGGGGTGCAGCAAATCGAAAGGAACAGAGAGCTCCTGCATACTCCTGCCCCCCACACGCACAGCCTCCCCAGCTATCAACAGCCCCCCGCCCCCGAGAGGCACATTTGTTGTAGGTGATGAACCTATACTCACACATCATTCTCAGTATCCCCCCATGGTTTTGATTCAATCACATATATACACACACACACACGTATGTATATATAGTGTTTCAGTATATTTTGCCTTCTTAAAAACGCATGGTTTGATTCGCAGTACTGTAGGCTACAGGGAAAAGACCATGGATCTTGAGCTAGTTGCCTGGATTTGTGTCCCTGTTCCTTTACTTAGTGGCCGGGACCTCTGGTGTGTTTGCAGACGCTTAAAGTTGTCCATAATGAAAATTTTAAAAACCCCTCAGAGTCCAACTTCTGGTTAGCAAACCGATGTGGCTTACTTCGGTGTATAGTTCCCATTCCTACATCTCAGCAGAGAACACGGGCCTACAAGGCCAGGGAACAGAGGCTGAGACAACCGGAGACTTGGTTTGCTGCTACTCGAAAAGCTCTGAAAATGTTTAAATCTTGGGGACAACAATAACAAAATTCAGCCACATTTATTTCTAAGTGTGATTTCTTGGTGTTTTTCATGCATAATCGTTACAAAAAGCTGACTAGCCATTTTAAAGACTCAATTTAAAATGGAATACTCTTGGGGCGCCTGGGTGGCTCAGTTAGTTAATCGTCCAACTCTTGATCTCAGCTCAGGTCTTGATCTCAGGGTCATGGGTTTAAGCCTGTGTTGGGCTCCATGCTGGGCATGGAGCCTACTTAAAAAAAAAAAAAAAAAAAGAATACCCTAGAATTTTGATGAGTCTGTTTTACATTCCCTCCAACGGTTTACTCACTGCAATGCTTAAAAAACCAGAAGGCAAGGCAGCTTGCTCCCTAAGGCCTGTGTGATGTGGCAGGAAAGCTGAAAGTCTGGAATCAGAGCAGCCAGGGTCTGGACCTCCCTGCCCTTGACTACCAGATCTGGCCTTGGCCATTTACCTAATTTCTCTGAGCTTCAGGCTCCCCAACTGCAAAAGATGAACATAATACCTAATCTGCTAGGCAGTGTGAAGATTAAAAGTAACCAGACACACATAAGGAGCTCAATAAAGAGCAGCCATTACATATTAAAAAAAAAAAATCATTAGTATAAGGCTATGAACTAGGAAAAAAGTGCGAGTGAGTGAGGCCCAGGGTTGAAACTGTTACAGTTCCCTTCTGAAAGGGGAAGGCTAACTGAATTTCTCTGGCTTGAACAGTATCATTAATAGTGCCCAACTTATTCCAAAGGCTACAGAAACTGGCACATTAAGAAAGACTTTTAGGGGTGCCTGGGTGGCTCAGTCGGTTAAGCGTCTGCCTTCGGCTCAGGTCATGATCCCAGGGTCCTGGGATCGAGCCCCACATCGGGTTCCCTGCTCAGCAGGGAGCCTGCTTCTCCCTCTCCCCCTGCTTGTGCTTGCTTTCTGTCAAATAAATAAGAAAAAAGAAAGACTTTTACTTAAATTCATGGCTAATAACAAGTATTTAAGTTCAGATGAAGAGGGAAAGGGTAAGAACAAACTGAAAGATTCCTTGCCAAACAACCCAGCTCCAGGAGATTGCCTTCCAGAAACAATGTAGATTAAGCCATTTTATAAACCAGGCAGGGGCCTATCTTTAAAAGCAAACAGCAGAAGCTTTTAAAAACTGAAAAAGCTGAGTTTATTCTAACTCCTTTAAGTCCTTCAAGTATTTTAAAGAAATACTGCGATAAGGCTAAAAAAAACCAATGAAAATATGTCAATAAATTTTAAAAGGATTTAAATAGATTTAAGAATTATTAAAATGCTTTTATAATGCTAAAACGTAAAAGATGTCCCTATGGGACACAATGATGTATTTTAGATTACTATCCATGTAGTTACAGTGAGGTACCTCTTTACAACTTGGAAACTGGGTTACATTTAACACTGAATCGGTCCACCTGAAACCAACGTAACACTGTATGTTAATTACACTTCAAAAAAAAAAAAAAACCCCAAAGGGCTGTGAATCAGCTCAGGGCTGTGCAGATGGCTGAAGCTGACATTAAAAATTCACGGGGGGGGGGGTAGGGAGGGGCTCGGGTGGTTCAGTGGGTGGATCTTCTGCCTCTGGGTTTCCCCTCAGGTCCTGATCTTGGGGTTGTGAGATCGAGCCTTGTCCCTGCCCCTCCGCATTCAGCGGGGAGTCTGCCTGTGCCTCTCTGCCCCTCCCCCCACTGGCGCATTCTCTCTCTGCAATAAATCTTTAAAAAGAAAATTCACCCTAAGTGTTCACACAGCTGAAGAAAATGTCCACCTAAGGGGCAGCTGTTTGGGGGTGGAAGAGGAAGAACCCAGTTCCAGCGCTAAAAAAGGACGGTGGATGTAACTGCCTGGTCTCTCGGGCCCCAGTGCCAGTCAGCGCCAACCACAGCCCCCTTGTTTGCCCGGCGGTTCAGGACCACGGGCTCTGGAGCCGGGCCACCTGCCACTTCTTAGCTATATGACCTTGTCAAAACCCCTCTCCACCTCATTCTTCTCAGCTAGAAGATGGATCGGAGACTCACTCACTCTGTATTACAGGGTAGTTGTAAAGATTAAATGAGTCAATACACATAAAGCATTTTAGTTTCTGGCACTTGGTAAGCGTTCAGTAAAACTTAGCGATAATCCTTCCATTTTACAGAAGGGAAAACCGGTGATACTTTCATATTTCTAGATTAAGTCCACTTAAATAGGGAAAGCATTTGGGAACAGAAAAAGCCAAAAAAAAAGGTCAAATTTTTCATTTCTAGTTTAGGGGATAAAAATGAAGGAGAAAGTGAAGACATTTTAAAACATATTTCACATTTGGAAATAAAATATATTTTCTTGGTGTGTTTATTATACTGGTGAAGAAATTATCAAGTATTAATAAGCTGGTAGTACATCCAGCTTATTTCTTCTAAAGGAGAGACAAAACTCCTGACCAGTGTACCGATACTCTAAATACTTGTGTTTACTGTTTTTAATGTGGAAAATATTTCTAAGTATTTTTTAACCTCTTGAATTGGAGCAGTGTTTCCCTTTTGATGACTTCCTTAGCATATGCTTACCTTAAGTCTGGCAAATAAAATGCCAAAATCATCACTATTTCTAATATATATATATTTTAAGATTTTATTTATTTATTTGACAGAGCTAGAGAGCACAAGCAGGGAGAGCAGTAGAAGGAGAGGGAGAAGCAGGCTCCCCACTGAGCAGGGAGCCCGATGCGGGGCTCGATCCCAGGATCCTGGGACCATGACCTGAGCCAAAGGCAGACGCTTAACGACTGAGCCACCCAGGCACCCCTATTTCTAATATATTTCATAGAGAGAATTTGGGGGACAAAAACCTCTATCCAAAAATGATGCTAATTTTGGTTTATGAATATACTTTGCTTTCTTTCAATCGAATTCCTTACTACTCGTTTAAATCATATCCACAGTAATACCTGCAAAAAAAAAAACTTCCTCAGATGGTGAATAACTGTTTGTTTGGCTCCAAACCCAATATCTTTTCCACAACTTTTAGGGTTTTATTTCACATCCAGCAGAACTTTTGCTGAATCCTGAGCACCTGCCCTTCCTCCTTCCCTCCCCCAACCCTGTACACTAACCAGGAAAGGCCCACAAAGATGAAGAAAGGAGGAATTTACGGTTTGAAACTGTGTCATTCACTCTGTCTTCTGAGATGCAGTTATAGTTTTCCATCAGTAAGCACTCGAGTATCAATCTAGAAACTATTCTCACCTGACCAGCCTGTCAGCCAGTGATGCTCCCCATCCACCCTGCTGGAAAGAAAACTGAAAAAGGAAAAGTCCATTACTACTTATCGATGTAATTAGCACACTTCAGAAAGGGACATTTTGGTCATCAACTCCTTTTGTTTTCCTCTCATCCTCCCTGACTTTTTGGCCTTCATCATTTGCTTCGCTCAGAGGTCATTTTAGGAATTACTACAGCTAAACCTCAGCAGCACTCTGGAAGTTAGAGGGAGTTTTCTTCCCTATCAATTGGATTTGAGCCAGTCATCTGCATTTTATTGAGAATATCAGAGTCATTTTTACTTAGAATAGCTACTTAAATTTATGTACAAGAGATGAAATCAATTGTATGTTCAGTTAGGAAACGAGATCCATGCTGTACTACATTTCCATACTTGAAAAGAATAAGGAAGTTAATTACAGAATTCAGGGGGTGAACCTTTTTTAAATATACATTCCTATAAATTTGGAAAGCCCTTACTGCCCTTCTTGCCTAAAAATTGGCACACACACACAGAAAATTGGTTGAGGAAGTCATGTCTGAAGAGACAAATAAGAAAACAAACAAACAAACACAAAACACCACGGGAGTAATTTTTTTAAAGTGTACTTCCTCCCTGAAGTAGAACATACATTTTTCCTTAATATGGGTTGAAATGATCTTGGGTGAAAAGATCATCTACTACGTTATTCTTGGGGACATTTTATTCAAGATCAGCTTGTTCCACCAGGGGAGGCAGAGGGAGCTGGTTCCAAGTGTTTTCTGCATGGAACGGGCTGCACAAACCCTCAGCAGGTGGTTCAGCCGCCACCGCGCTCCCGCAGGTGACCCTCCCCGGAAGCTCCGCGCGGGACACAAAGTGCTGTCCGTGCTGCGAGCGACCAAAGGAGGTTTCGTGGAAAAGGAAGACACTAAGATGAAGACACCGCGCCCCTACTTGTACCAGGTCTCCCGATTCTCCCTAAAACTGACGGGAAGCCGTGAACTCAGGCTTTGTCACGCCCAGGGCGCGCGGCCTGGGCCGGTCACCTCACTTGGCTGCACCTCACCTCACCCGTGAACCAGGCTCCGTGAAACGGGCGTGCAAGCGCTGCGCCACCCACACCGTTACCCTGAAGCCAGGAGCGACCGGAGACGGGAAGCCCTGCCGGGGGGCTCCGAACGGCCGCTGGAGGCGGTTGCTGCTGGAGGCTGCAGGCATCCCCGAACAGATCCCGCCACCGGGGCGCTCAGCCTTCGGGGCAGCCCGTGCCGGGGGAAGCGGGGTGCAGGGAGGTGACCTTGATAACCGCGGGGCAGACGGGAGGACGGGAGCCTGGTGCGGAGGACAGCCAGTGAGCTGGGGCCGTCGCCCAGAGAGCGCGGCCGTGGGCGCCCAAGCAACCCGCCATGTGAGGACCGAGCGGCGGTACCTGGGTGATGGAGTCTCCGAATAGCAACACCCGCGGCCAGAGCAGAGCGCAACCGCCGCTCGCCGCCTCGCACAGCGCCATATTGCCTGCCGGCCGAGAGGCGGGGCCAGGCCGGATATCCGGGGCGGGGCGAGCGGTCGGGGGCGGGGCCGCCCGCGGAGCTGGGGGAGGTGCCTGAGCGGCGGTCGCTGGCCTGTCGTCCGCGGGGTGGCTGCCGAGGGGCTCCTCGAGCTGGGCTCCTTTGGCACCAACCGGCCATTTTTAACACGTGCGACAGCAGTTGCCCCTTGGAAAGCTCATTTTTGTCCGTTTACAAAGCGGCCTCGCTGTTCGTTGGTTCATCCCGTCAGGGGCGGGGCGCACGCAGCCCCCTGCCCTCGGGGAGCCCGCAGGCCCTCCCGGAGAGTCGGTCTGGCCGCGCACTTCCCGGCACCCCGACGGGGGCCGCCCGGCACTTCCCCGGGGGCCCGAAGGGAGAGCGGTCTGGCGCCGCCACCAGAGTCAACGTCACCCTCCAGGCGGGGCCAGATGTTTCCGCAAACAGCAAGAGTGTGAAGCTCGGTGGGGAGGAAGTGCTTCCGAGGGACTCGTTCATCACACAGCCATCTCTCGTTAAATAGACGGACTCAAGCATTTATCGAAGGTTTTGACCTCAAAGAAAAACTTGTTTGCTGAAGACAGGAAGGCAAACTATTCAAGGACGAAGATGGGGTTTTGCAGGAGGGGAGAGAAATTAGGAAAGGTGGGGATCCACAGCCGAGGAGCAGGGTGGAGGGTAAGAAGGATGTACAGTTTCTAGAAACCGGATTCTTGCTGAAGGCAGGCCAGGGTGGTAAGATACCAGGCAGGGGGATGAGGAAGTTGAGCAGGTACCCAGCAGGACTCTAGAGGGGCCAAGGGCAGAGCCAAGGCGGGGGCCTACTCCCAGGAGCTACAAGACTCGTTTGCTCAGAGTCCTTGCCACCTCAGCTGTGCCATGAAATATGATGGCTGTGACTAAAATGGGCCAGATGTTTTGAAAAAACTGAGCCTAAGGCGAAAACCAGACTCCCAAGGGAAGCAGTGCACCATAGAAAAGCTGACCTACCTCGCTGTGGCTGGGCCGTAAGGTGTCGGGAGAATGGCTGGAGCCGGAGAGACAGGTAGTGGGAGGCAGAGCCAAGTCTCCAGGCCAGGAGTTCCCCTGGCTTCAACGAGAATCATCTGGGGAGCTTTAAAAATGTGCTGATGATAAAGGGCCCTCATTCCAGACCAACTAAGTTAACTCCTGATGGTAAGATGTGGGCCTCAGTATATTTTTGCTGCTCCCCAGGTGACTCCAGCATGTAGCCAAGGTTGAGAACACCTGGCTTAGTTAAGATGTTTGGACTTGATCCTAATTACAATGAAGCCCTGAAGGACTTTCAGTAGGGAAGGCCTGAGAGCAGGTCTGTGTATTTCAGGAAGGAGGAGCAGGGAAGCTGTGGCAGGAACCAGAGGGGACAGGGTGACTGGGACTCAGAGCCACCGTGGAGAGAAGACAAGGGCAGACTCAAGAGCAATTGGAATCCTTAACTCAAATTGCTTACCTCAGGGAGAGGGACTAGGGGAAAAAGCACATTCCCTTTTTACTATATATATACTGTCTTATTAAGATATTACAGGTATGGGGGCACCTGGGTGGCTCAGTTGGTTAAGTGGCTGCCTTCGGCTCAGGTCATGATCCTGGGGTCCTGGGATCGAGCCCCGCGTCGGGCTCCCTGCTCCGCAGGAAGCCTGCTTCTCCCTCTCCCTCCGCCTGCCTCTCTGCCTACTTGTTCTCTTTCTCTCTCTGTCAAATAAATAAATAAAATCTTTAAAAAAAAAAAGATACTACAGGTATGTATTTTTTGTAACTTAAAAATGTTTTTAAATCTCTCAAAACTGGGGTGCCTGGGTGGCTCTGTTGGTTGAGCGACCGACTCTTGATTTCGGCTCAGGTCGTGAGATCGAGCCCCACGTTGGGCTCCGTGCTTGGCAGGAGTCTGCTTGGGATTCTCTCCCTCTGCCCCTCCTGCTTGTTCTCTTGCTTTCTCTAAAATAAAATAAATCTTTAAAAAAAAAAATCTATCATAAAGTCTTACATGACACCAATGGTGACCGTTAGAACTTTGGTTTGGGCCAGAGACAAAAGTGGGGTAGGGTATCTTACAGAACTATTTCAAGTAAAACTTCAGATTTGTGCACTCAAGCTTGTCACAACACAGGGAAGGAGCGCTTGGTGGCTGTAAGTCACCAAGAGGTGAGGCAAGGAGAGGACTAACAGGGTCGGTGGAGTTTAGGGACTGTGGTTGGCGGACGCCTTTAGCTTGACGGTGAGTGTGAGCGACTCTCGAGTTGGGCAGGAAGGTGAGAGCGAGTTTCTGCTCGTGCTCGCCCCCCCGCAGAGGCGGCAGTCAGACCCATGCGTGGAAGCAGACCCCAAGGACACCCCGGCTGATCTGCTCCCTCAGCACGCCGCACCCCTACACTCCTGTGCCAGTTACTTGCAAGTCTGCACGCGTCTTACACACGCTTCAGGAAACTGGCCTAATGATTAATTTACACACAGAGCAATTCAACAACTCACACCTGAATCCCCTGGAGCTTGAGGCATAAAAATTATAGTCTGAATATCTCTGAATTGAATGTGAACTGAGTATCTTTGAATTGAAAGAAAATATCACTGAATCCCGAAAGTCGTAATTTTACAAATGTACAAATTAAGGAATTTGCCAAGAGTATCAGGAGGGAACAGAAAAGCACTTGAGGTGATAATCTCTATTAATTCCCTTCAGAATATGGACATAAAAATACAAACCATCATGCATTTTCTTTCCTTAAAAAGGCCACGAAGACACTGATTCAGTTGCTATGAGCAGATCTGAAAGGTTTCATTGGCAGCTTAGGCAGTTTATTCAGCAAATATTTTGGAATAATGGACAGATCAGCTGGTAATTTAGCAGCACCCAAGCTGTTGGAATCAGGGCCCTTTGACGTCACAAGTCACTAGGCTACTCCCGAGAAACTAAGGTATTTTATTTTAAGTCACAGAAGTGGAGTCAAGCGTTCCGAAGAAGCTCACGTCGCCGGAGGCGGCCGGCTGTCAGTGAACGGGGGTGAGGGCCTCATACAGCCTCTGTGCGGCTAGCTCCACCATTTCCCGCAGGGATTCGTCTTCCTCGCTCCCTTCTTCGCATTCTACAGTCTGAAAGTGAAAGCACAAACAGGCCTTTCACCCTAAGTGTCTACAAGTGTTCTACGGAAGACAGACTGATCCTCTTTAGCGATCCTCATTTCCGGGAGGGGCGGGGGTCACCGAAACCTGGCATCTGGGGCCCCGAGCTGTGGCCCTCAGGCCTGCAGGCGTGGGCCCGACCTGCGGAGCGCGACTGCACAATCACTGGGTCTAATTAGAGGTTAATTTTGGAAAAAGGAATAAATGGAAAATCTAGTGAACTAGATTTAATTCAAAGCCCATATTCTGACCCAGTAAGTTTCATTACCAGGAACTCAGTCTTTGTAATACCAATTACTTAGCAAGCTCAAAATCTGTATTAAATCTGATTTAGACTAATAATCTTCTAGTAATTTCTCAGCTACAAAACACTATATGTGGTTTTAAAATTTTATCATACTATAAATATTGCTCATATTACAACTTAGTAAGGAAAGAAAAAGTAACACCCTTAATTCTATAACCTAATGATAACTCCTGTGAACATTTCAGCGTATAACCTTCCAGACTTTGAGCTACACATATGTATTTCTTTAAAACCAAAATGGGGTAATTTGTCATACTTGCGATCTTGTTAACTTTTCTTGCCCCTCACTGATGCGGGGGGACAACTGTGCCCATCAGTGATCCCCATCGCCCTCCTGCTGATGGCTGCCTGTACAGACCTCCGTGTCGGGGAGTACACCACACACACAATCTATTGTGATTTCATTTAGTTTCCTACTCGTGCATATTTCGGTCTCTTGCAGTTCTGCTGATGTTACAATCAACGCTAGAAGAGAAATCCTTGTATATATCTTTGCTCGAATTATTTTATTATTAACTTGTCCAATTATTTTCTTTGATTAGATGCAGTAAGTGGAATTGTGGATAAAGGTATTTACTTTTCTGAGCTTTTCTAAGCATTTCACCAACTACACTGCGGAAAGAACGTGCCAGCTCATTTACAACCCCCTCCCGGCCCCAAACTGACCCTGATAATAAACTGTGGCCCGGTTTTCCCCGGCGCCGGGCCCAGCACTCTTGTTCATCTGTGCCCAAGTGTTAAGCAAACAGTGAGGTTTTGTACTTTCAATCCGTATTTCCTCTAATTACTAGTGGATCGGAGCTGAACATCTGATTCACGTGCTTGCTGGCTGTCCAGACTTCTTCTCTAGTGAACCACTTGCTTATATTCTTAGCTTATTTTTCTAGTGGGATAAAATAAACTAGTGTCTCCTCAAAGCATCTATATAGTCAAAGAACATAAATTTAAAACCTATGTTGTTTGTTTAGTAGAACTGTTCTAATCTTCAAAAACAAGACTGTAAGATATACGTATTCACTTATGCTTATGAAATAATTATGCAGGATCTATAGCGTAAGACCAGAGCAGGCCCCAAAATCTTGAATCCCATTGTTTGGAAAAGCCACTTGGATCTTGCTGGTAAAACCAGAGAACAGCTTCTCTGAAAAAATCTGGAATCAACTGGATGCCAAATAAGAGAAATGGACTCAGGCCTCTCGTGCAAAAGTAAATGACGGGGAATATACACACAAGAACCGTGTGCTGTGCAGCAAGGCGCAAGAACACTTAGGACAGGGGCGCCTGGGTGGCTCAGTCGTTAAGCATCTGCCTTCAGCTCAGGTCATGATCCCAGGGTCCCGGTATCGAGCCCCGCATCGGGCTCGCTGCTCAGCGGGAAGCCTGCTTCTCCCTCTCCTACTCCTCCTGCTTGTGGTCCCTCTCTCGCTGTGTCTCTCTCTGTCAAATAAATAAATAAAATCTTAAAAAAAAAAAACACTTAGGACAGGATGGGGCAAGAACGCAGGGCGCCTGGCCGGCTCGGTCAGAAGAGCATCCGACTTTTGATCTTGGGGTCGTGA